GTTTTATTGAGATACAACAAATTTACACAAAATAAAATTTACCAATTTAAACTGTACCGTGATGGGTTTTGATAAACCACATCCACATAACCACCATCACAATCAGGATAAAGATAATTTCTGGGGCCAGCCCGTGGCTCACTTGGAAGAGTGTGGTGCTGATAACACCAAGGCCATGGGTTCGGATCCCTATATAGAGATGTCTGGTCAGCTCACTTGGGAGAGTGTGGTGCTGACAACACCAAGTCAAGGGTTAAGATCGCCTTACCAGTCATCTTTAAAAAAAAAAAAAGATAATTTCTATTATTCCCCAAATTTTCTCCATGCTCCTTTGCTGTAAGTCCCCTGCACCCACCCCGGCCCTGGCAGACACTATTGAGTTCTTAATTTTGGCAATTGTATTTTTTAATTCTGTAATTCCCACTTGATTCTTTTTCTATAGTTTAAAGTTCTTTGTCAAAATTCTAAATTTATCATTTTATCCTCTTAAATGTTATCATAGTTATTTCATTTTATTTTATTTTGCTGTCATAAGCAACAGCAATCACAGTTATTTTAAAGTCTATGTCAGAGAACTTCAGGGGCCGGCCCATGGCTCACTCGGGAGAGTGCAGTGCTGATAACACCAAGGCCATGGGTTCGGATCCTATATAGGGATGGCCGGTTGGCTCACTAGCTGAGCGTGGTGTTGACAACACCAAGCCAAGGGTTGAGATCCCCTTACCAGTCATCTTTTTTTTAAAAAAAAAAAAGAGAACTTCAGTATTTATAGCCCCCCATTTATAAATCTGTTTCTGTGAGATATCATTTGTGTTGGTTTTCTTTTCTTCTTTTTTTTGGCAGATGGTGGGCATGGGGATATGAACCCTTGACCTTGGTCTTACCAATACCATACTCTAACCAAGTGAGCTAATCGGCCAGTCGAGTTGGCTTTATGCTCATTATAGAAAATTTAGAAACTACAGAAATAAAGAATATTTAAATTATTTATTATACTATCATGCACATTTTTTAAATTTTTCTTTAATTTTTCATCTGAGGGGACCACACTGAATTTTTAAAATTTTTTTTCATTATTTTCGTATCATGTACATTTTGACACATTTCCTTCCAGTCTTTTTTTTTCTTTACACAGTTGAGATCACATTGTATCATATATAGTTTGTATCCTGCTTTTAAAATAATATTACAAAATACACATTTCCTTGTTCTTTCAATATCTTGTTTTTATTTTTTTATTTTTTATTTTTTAAAATTTATTTTAGGGCCGGCCTGGTGGCGCACTGGAGAGTGCACCGCTTGGGAGCCCGGTGGCACTCCCGCCTAGGGTTCGGATCCCATGTGGAGACCGGTTCCCGCTCACTGGCTGAGCATGGTGCGGGCGCAGCACCAAGGGTTGCGATCCCATTGCCGGTCCCCGGTACGGGCGCGACACCGAGGGTTGCGATCCCATTACCGGTCAGTAAAAAAGACAAAAAAGGAAAAAAAATTTTTTATTTTATTTATTGAATCAAAATTGATTATACATATTTTGGGGTTGAACATTAAGATATGTTGATTAAATCAATATTACTAGCTTATATAGTGTTACAAATCGTAATTATTCTTTATGCCTTTGTCCAATCTCTCCCTTTCCCCCATTCTCTCTACCTCCCCCCTCTAATTGCACTAGATTTCTTCTCTCCTTCTGAAAGAACAATGGTTACTCTGTTAATTTGTTGTCTAAATGATCTGTCCAATGCTGAGAGATGTGATCAGGTCCCCCAATATTATCATAGAGCAGATGCCTGTCAGTCTGAAATAGGTTGCGTGGAAAGAGACATCCTCTTCTTTTCTTTGTCTCTGCTGTTGACTCTTCTTGTGTGAATGCACTCCAGTGGATGGCGGACCATCTGCATGGTGGCTGTGGCGTCTAGCCGCTTTTGTGACAGCCATGGTTATTGTGGTGGGCCACCCAGGTGGAGGTGCTGTTTTTGGCATGCTCCTTGGCACTGGTGGTATGCCTGGTTGTAGGGTGTGTTTGGTCCCCTTCTCCATGCCTCTGGTCCCTGGGCAGGCCCCAAGACACTGGCGCCATGTGCCTGGTTGTGGGAGAGAAGTCCAGACCCCTTCTCCATGCCTCAAGTCCCCAGGCAGGGCCCACGGCACTGGCATGGTGTGCCTGGCTGTGGGAGAGAGGTCCGGTTCCCTTCTTCATGCCCTGGGTCCCTGAGCAGGCCCCAAGGTGCTGGCGCAGTGTGCCTGGTTGTGGGAGAGAGGTCCGGTCCCCTTCTCCTTGCCTTGGGTCTCTGGGCAGGCCCCAAGATGCTGGCGTGGTGTGCCTGGTTGTGGGAGGAGGGTCCAGTCCCCTTCTCTATGCCTCAGGTACCCGGGCTGGCCCCAAGGCACTGGTACAGTTTGTCTGGAAGTGGGAGTGGGGTCCGGTCCCCAGATCCAAGCCTCCAGTTCCCAGGCAGGCCCCAAGATGCTGGTGGTGTGCCTGGGCCAGAACTAATTTTTTGTCCTTTGCTTCTAACATGGGGGAACTTCCTATGGAAACCAGTGCTTGAGCTGTGTGGTTGTTTAAATTGCTACTTTGCTGCTGTTTCCCTAGGGAAGGCTTTTTGTGCAGCTCAGGGTTTAATGGTTGACCTTATAGGTACTTTGGGTTGTATAGAAACTATGATTTGGGCCTGAGTTTTTTCATCAGACTACACCCCGTGCAATTCTGCGTTCCCAACCCATTCT